CCTGCTGACCCCTCACCAGTATTAAGTTAAGCAGGATTACCCCAGGAAACTGAAATACTGTCCAGTTCATACATTCCAATGTATGCTTTGCCTGCTTTGCAAGAACACAGCACTGGTGATGACATTCAGCTTGTGGCCGAATCTAACCCACGCATGTTTTCTCTCCTAGCCACATCTGTGACATATAAAAGCTTGTACTTGACTTTATGGAATTCTACTCATTTTCAGGCTATTTTTCTAAAACATCAAGCCTCAATTCGATGCTGTCTCTGGTTCTTGCAGCCCCTCCCAGCTTGATACCACTTTCCAATTTCATAAGCATCCTCTCAGAATTTTCCCCCAAAGCATAAGTGAAAACATAAGACAGAACCACGCTGCAGATGCTCTCCTGGGGAGTCTCGTTTTCTGCATCTGACCATCCTCATCATGCACTTACCACCACAGTGTACACAGATTGACAGCACAGAACTTGGGTGATGGGGAGGGACAGAGGATAATGAGCAGATAGAAGAAAGGAGAATAAAAGTTATCTTCAAATTCAATAGTAAAATTAACACAATTTTTTTTTTTTTAAAAAAAAGACAGACACTGGCATTCTGGTTATTTTCATGTAGTTTCAGCTATTTTAGTAAGCATAGTTTACCTCCAGGTGTCTTTACAGAGTAAAGATCTGATCCCTCAGGAAAAGTAATACACATATTTTGAAATATTGCATCATTAGGAGCACAGCTGATGCATTCCCCCTTTGCTTCAGTTTCTGTGTTACAAATCCACAAGAACACAGGAGCCAGATGAGTTCAGAATGTCTCCTTGCATCTAAAACCATCTCACTGACATCTACCATATTTGTCCTCAACTGATTCACAACTCTGGGGTTCACAACGAATGCAAACAAACACAAAAGATATGTGGTTCCAGTAAATGTCAAAGTCTCAATAAACACAAAAACCAGCTAAAGCATTTTTAATAGTTACTCAGGTTCCTCAAATTTGTTCATAGAGTTTTCTGAAAGTGATATGGTTGAAAGTAGCTTTGTTACTCCTAAATAAACTTGGTTGACCTCCTAGAACAAAGCAGCGCTTTATCTTCAAGCTCTGCTTTGGAAAGCATTCCAGATTGCAGGTAAATACCTCACCTGTAGACCATTCCATGGAAAACATTCTTTGCAGATCAACTATGTCAAATTTCTAAACCTGTATTTCAGATTTCTAAAACCCAAGTAGTGAGCTGTGTCGTTAAGAAGGTGAAGAAAGAGAGGATATCCATGAGAAAGGCTTTACCTGTGCTGAAGAAAATGTTTCCTTGCTGGATTCCATTATTAAAGAGGCTGCCTTTGACTATTATAACCTCAGGCTCCTCCATGACACAGATATATTCAATCATGCCTGACTCTTGAATATGAACTTCAGTATAAATCCACTGCTTGGGCTTCCAGCTTTTTAGATTCTCAGATTACAGCTAGCCCCACAATGAGTTAACTTTTCTCTGGCTGAGATCCAACTAGGAAGCACTGCACAGAATCTACATTTCATTTACAGCACATTCATCAGATTTGTTTCTTTCAAGAGGCAAGATATACCTCCTTTGACCAGTGCACTGGTTCAGTTCAACAGGAAAACAGATTCTAATGGACTAAATCTATAACATCATGGACATTAGTACAAAGTTGTCAGTTTACACCAACAATGACAAGAAGGACATCAGCAAGATTTGACTGATCTCATCTATAGAGTTGTTTTATCTTCTGGATGGATCGTTTCCACCACTCTTCCCAATGCTGAATTGCCCGCAGCTGAGCTGTACTTTCTTCCTTGATCTGGGCAAACTGCTGCTCAAGATTACGTTTGTATGTCTGTATGAACAACAACAAAGGACAAAATTGTCCTGTGGTGAAGAAATACAGTTTTATTTTACCTAAATCTAGGTCCTGATGCACTGTGTCAGAGGATTGCATAAAGGCTGCTTATTTTCTGCCTTCGGCAGTAGAACTATATGAACAATGAATTATTCACTGCCTTTCTTCTGTGTCCTTTTTAAAGACTTCTGAAACAAAATTATCAGCAATATCAGCGATTATCAGCAATATTGAAATTGCTGATATCTTCAATCAAGATCAGCAATTTAAATATTCATACATGCAAGATCTTCACCTCACTTCCATTATCTCCTAAGATTAAAAAGCGGCCTTCTTTAGCGAACAGAGAGGAAAGCGTGCATCTCAAACACCGAACGTGCTCTGGCTCTTGCCCAAACTTCCTAAGTCACAGTTCCTTCCCACAGACCAACCTTATATACAGCATCTCTTGCTTCTACTGCTGCTACATGGCCCAGTGTAGTCTTAGCTGTTGTAATTGATGCAGTTTCCCTGCAAAGAACATAGTCTGCATTGTCTGCAAGAGTAGTCAAGGGTATTCCTGGCCAAGTCCTTTAAAAAACAAAAGAAACAAACACCATATGAGAGAGAACAAGTTAGAAAAGAGAGCAGATTATACTGATTCATGTTACTTGTATTTAAAGTGCAAAAGATTAATTATTTTTTTTAATCTCCGCAAAAGATTTATCCTAAAAACTACCTTATTTAGTACAAGCACCTTTTCTTTTTGAACTTCAGGATCTCTGCAAAGTAAATACAATTCATGTCTTCTGAGTGCAAATACACAATATGTTCATAGATCTGAAAGTGCTGAATCGATAAATAGTGGCTAGCAGAGGGGTTGGGACCGGTCCTGTTCGATATCTTTGTCAGCAACACTGACAGTGGGATTGAGGTGCCTCCAGCAAATTTCCCAAGGACACTGAGCTGTGTGGTTCAGTTGATACGCTGGAGGGAAGGGACGGGATCCAGAGGGACCTGGACACACTTGAGAGGTGGCCCATGCCAGCCTCATAAAGTTCAACAAAGTGAAGTGCAAGGTCCTACACCTGGGTTGGGAAATCCAAAGCACAGCTACAGGTTGGACAGAGCAGTGATTAAGAGCAGCCAGAGGAGAAGGATTTGGGGGTGCTGGTTGATGAGAAACTGAATATGAGTCGCTTCAATGTGCGCTTGAGCCCAGAAACCACCCGTGTGCTGGACTGTGCCAAAAGGAGTGTGACCAGAAGGTCAAAGGAAGTGATCCTGCCCCTCTGCTCTGCTCTTGTGGGACCCCACTTGCAGCACTGTGTGCAGCGCTGGTGTCCTCAGCCTAAGAAGGACATGGAGCTGTTGGAGCAGGTCCAGAGGAGGCCACGAGGATGATCAGGGGCTGGAGCACCTCCTGTATGAAGACAGGCTGAGAACACTGGGGCTGTTCAGAAGAGAGGAAGAAGAGAAGCTGTGTGGAGACCTCAGAGCAGCTTCCAGTATCTGAAGGGGGCTACAAGGATGCCACAGAGGGACTCTTTGTTAAGGAATGTAGTGATAGGACAAGGGGTGATGGGTTCAAACTGAAAAAGGGCAGATTTAGGTTAAATATGAGGAAGAAATTCTGTACTGTGGGAGTGGTGAGGCACTGGCACAGGCTGCCCAAGATGGTTGTGAATGCTCCATTTCTGTCAGTGTTCAAGGAGAGGTTGAACAGGGCTTGGAGCAACCTGGTCTAGTGGGAGGTATCCCAGCCTGTGGCAGGGAGTCAGAACTGGATGAACTTTAAGGTTCCTTCCAAACCAAACCAGTCTGGGATTCTATGATAGTAATAATATTGAAATCGTATTGCTTTACAATACAATACACAATTCACTTTTATTTGGATCCATTGCTATTCCTTCTTTCAAATCACTGCCTACCCAAATTGACCCTAACTAGTTAAATGACATCGCTAGTGATGAGCAAAGCATTCAGCAGTTTCAACAAGTGCAGAAAAAAAACTATGAGGACAGTGCCTGATATGAGTTTAGAGAAGAGAAATTACATAGAACAGCACTTAGCAGCTTCAAATGTTACCTGCTCCCACGTCCACTTATCTCTCTAACTTCACAGATTTCAAGGGGAAGTCCAGCTTGTTTACAGCGCATTAGAGTGGATGTTTTCTCTCTCGACATTTCAATTTCTGGGAGATAACAGGAGATACACTCAGCAGCAACAAAACAACACCAGTAATACCACTGTTTTGAAGTCAATATATGCAGCTAGTTGTCTTCACTTTAAAGAAATAGCTTTGCATGTTTGATCATGCAAATCTACCCATTTAAAGTACTACAGCACATAAAAGCCTCCTCTTCCCTGGGAAAGTCTGCTGCAATCTTTGAGAAGGAAGCAGAAGCCTGATCAAGAAATCTCTTCTTTACTTACTTGGTACTTGTACATCATCAGCAGTGACACTTTCATCTAATTCAAGAAGCAGCTTTTCAGTGAAGGCAGCTAGTGCAGAAACAAAGTTCTGAGCACACTCAGCAGCACAGTCCTGTTGGGACATTGGAGACAAGTGAGAGGAATTCCTCTGATAATTTGATCTCCTCTCCTTTTGGTTTATCTCCAGAGGAACTACACAAGCATCCAAACTTAAAGTTTTGCAGCAGCTGCAGATAACACACGGAAGGCCCTAAGCTGCACATAAAGAGTCTAAAAGTGCCTCTCTGCAGTGTTCTTAACACTGCCTGATTACCTAAAGTACAAAAACCTATACAGTTCTTTGTTAGGTGCCCAGTAGTTGTATATTTGGGTTAAGAACCTAAACCTGCTGTCTGTAAATGTGTCCTTCTGCCCAAAGCAAACACCATGTTGGAATATGGGTACTTTGGGTGCAAACGTTCTGCCCAGGTATTATTCTAAAACAGGGAATGTGTGGTTTTGTGTGTGTTTGCAGAGCTAAGAGGAGAAGGAGATACTACTCCAGAATTAAACGTGTATATACTCTGCAGACACTATACTGAGTCAGTGGCCTGAGAGAAGTAAACTAAAAGCATTAATGCCAAGGAACTAATATTCAATAACCCTGGAAGATGGAGTGGGAAAAGTGTTTTGACTCCTAAAACTCTCCTGTAAATATCTGCTTATTCCAGTTCTTACTCTTGTATAGGAAAACGTCAATTATTTGCACTAGTGAAATGCACACACAGAAGAAACCCTTCCACACATCTGTTGTCTGCAAGTAATATAACTAACCAGAGGACGTCACTGTTGCTCCCAATTTAGACTTATCTCCTTATTCTTACAATTAAGATCTAAGTCATCTCTTCCTCAGTATGTTCGATGAATGATACAAAAGACCAGTTAGTTCCACAATAAATCCATGCATGTGTACAAGTGCATATGCATTTATGTATATATTGATCTAATGCTTATAATGCACAACTTGCAAGTTACAAGATAGATGAATCCGATTGCCTAAAACTGAAAACATTTTCCAGTTCACTTTTGATAGGGAGGAAAAATGTATCCAAGATGTAGTCTCCTTTCCAAATGCAACATCTAAGTTCATGCCGAGCAAAGACTATACAATTACCTGCAGCATCTGCATGTTGAGGTGAATACCATCACGTTGCTCTTTTTGCCTTTTTAGTTCTTCTTGACACAAAGCATCCAGCTGCAGCAAGTTGTCTGGGTGTCCCAGGGAGGGATGTAACTGATTCTTGTGTGCAGCCTTTACATGAATACATAAGAAATGCTTTCAGTAAAGAATGTGCAATTGAGACATGATAAGGAAGAAGTAAACCCACACAATCTATATAAAAGTTTTCAGAAAGACAAAGAAAATGTAGTGTATTTTGTGGCTGTCTAATGCAGTATATACCAAATTGCCTGTCTGCTGGAGAATGGCACCTCTAAGCTCACCTTGGGGTTTGTTTTCAACAAATAATAGTCTCTCCTATCAAGTGGTAAACATGGTGGGTTTATATTTTTATATTTGTATTTTTTCTGAATTTAAATCTCAGGATACAGCTCTGTAACATTTCCTGCGTGATCTTCATTATGATTCTATTATCAAGTCTGATATTACTGGACAAATATACCTCTCCTTTGAAAACCTGTAATCAATGATATTTCATTACCCATCCATATGCCATAGTACCTCCACACAAGTGCACCCATGCAGTGTGAGCTGCGTAGCCATACCACAGCATCAAAGCCCTTAAAGAGTTTACAATCTAAGTGTCAGATGACTACCAGAGCTGCAAAAGATTATAAAGAGCCAGTTCTGTGCTGGAAGCAGTGGGGGAGAGGACTGAGTTAAGAGAAATACAAAGCTTCCAGTAGAACTACACAGACTATTGACAAACACAGAAACCAGATGTGTGGCCAGCTCAGCAATGAGTCATTAAACGAACAGTGAGATTAATAAAAGAATATTTTTATAATTCCGATGCACGTAGCATTGCTTCCACCAGAAGCATTCCAGGATGTCCATGACACATACCTGCAGGTTCTCCCACTCTTCCAGCTGTTTACTGAAGAGCAGCCGAATCTGACCAGTGGAATAGTGGAGCTTCTGCTCATGTTCTTTGAAAAGGCTTTGAACCGCCAACAGGGAGACGTAAGAGAGCTCCTTCTCAAACGACTTCAGCTGATCCTGAAATTCTTTTTGGAAAAGACAAGATGTTTATGTGACCCACAAGGCTCAACTGGAGGGAGAAATACCACTCAGCCAAGTTGCGTGTATGCTGCAAAGCTCAAACAACCTGGAATTTCCTCTGACAGAGATTCTGTCCTACCATTCCTTTTTCTAGGTCCAGTGTTTTGAGAAACATGCACTTGCTAAAAGATGTGACCTTGTACAGGTCTTTCAACTCAGTCAAGTGCCCTTCTGCCATACCTTTTGTAGCTGATGGTATAGAAAAGAGAATATTGGCCCTATTTCCAGTAAAATCAACTGGACTTTTTCCACTGTGTGATGGATTAAGAAAGCTCCATAAATCTCAACCATTGTAATTTGCATTTTACATGAATGAAGAATTACATACACAAAAAACTAAAAGCTTTTATTGAATGAATTTACCTATAAGACAGGAATTGTAGTAATCATCTGTCTGACTGTGGTATGACAAAAGATTCTGTCTGAGCACTTCTGCACAATGTTCAAATGTCTCTGGCAGATCTTCGGGCATTGTGATTTTTGTGACTTGAGGCTTCTCTTTTTGGTAAAACTCCTTCAGGAGGTAAAAATAAACCAGAAAAGGTGTTGATAACTCATTCAAACAAGTCACACCTAGGCATATAACAGCAGCAGGGATACATAAGGCTATCAAGCACCCTTTTATTTGAGACCAGTTTTCCTCCTCTGATTCTCAAATGTTTAGTTAATGTTTATAAAGAAAACTGTGATTAGAAATACACTGTGCCAAATATTATTTAAAAATTAGATGCACTGATGATGAAAGAAGAAGTTCTGGGCAGCCTTCCAGACATTGCAAAGAACCAAATGATTGAGCTGACATGGGAGAAGACCCATGGAAGCACAAGTGACTGAACACCAGTGGGTTTTCTTACCTCAGCAAGGCAGAGCAAGCCGTTGTTACCTGTCCAGAGAATATTCATGATAATCCCCTTAAAAGTACTGAAAACAAACAAGATTAATAATCATAAATAAATAGATAAACCCCACCAAATGCAAAAGAGAATCGCTCCGTAAAGTGACCACATTGGCAAAATTGACTGGTTTTCAAATGTTTTGTTTGGGTTTATCTTAATACATTTTTCAGAGCATACACAAACAAATGTTCAGAATACCCCAGAACCTTCACCCCATTAGTGCAGCTCCTCTGCAGAAGCACCAGAGCTGCGGAGCTATTGGAAACACTTACCAGAGAACACTTCATGTAACAAAGCAGCTGTGGGAGCCAGCATCCTGTGCTGGAACCTCACCTTAGGAGCTTAGGCATATGAGATAAACCACAGATATCTGAAGGTGGTCTAGCTAGTTACTGGAAGTGTTTTGAAGCACAATGTGGAATAAAATTCACAAGCATTTAAACACCTTAGGCATCAATTTTAATAGTTTTGTGTAGTGCATATGAAGTATCTCAATTCTACACGTAAAAAACTTAAATTTCCTTAGAGAAGGAGAATAGAACCATATAAAAATCACCTAAACAGTTTGTTCTCTGATTAGCCATATAAATGTGATATTGAGCACAAGAATGTAGTGCATAATATTTATTAATCTTCTTAGAGGTGAAAATAACTGAAAGACAGACTGTTCTACATTTTCCAGCCCATTCTTTGTAAATGTACAAAATGAGCTCCAATGAGGCCACCCATTTCAGACATTAAACAGAATAAAATGGTTGACTATGGATTCACTATTATTATGCTGCAAAAAGGAACTGTTCTGTAAACACTTCGACCCATAAATATCAAGGTTAGATACCTCAAAATTCAGTGGTGAACTCTACAGTTCACAATTATAAATAAATATTTAAGTAGGAGGTTTTTTTTCAAATCAACATCTATTTCTGCAAATATGCATAACTTACTCAGATTCTGGAGGCTTCTCTTCAAATATCTGGAATTCCTTGTCACTGAGAACTGGTCTGGTGTACTTCTGTATTCTAGGGAGGCAAAACATTAATTTGAAACTATCCACAAGTATTTTCCTTCTTTGGCTGGTTATTTGAGCAGGTCAGTCATATGATGGACATGAAACAATTAAAATTCAGGAAAATGTAATTCTAAAACTAGTGTTACATGAAAATAAGTTTTTGATTGGAATAAGATTCCCTCCTCAGCGGCTCTTCAAGCTCTTCTGGGGAGGGACTCTTCATCAGGGACTGTAGTGATAGGACAAGGGGTAAAGGGATCAAACTTAAACAGGGGAAGTTCAGGTTAGATCTAAGGAAGAAGTTCTTTACAGTGAGGGTGGTGAGGCACTGGAACAGGTTGCCCAAGGAAGTTGTGAATGCTCCATCCCTGGTAGTGTTCAAGGCCAGGCTGGATGGAGTCTTAGGTGACATGGTTTAGTGAGAGGTGTCCCTGCCCATGGTAGGGGGTTGGAACTACTTGATCTTAAGGTCTTTTGCAACCCTAACTATTCTATGATTCTATTCTATTACAGTAGCTCATTTCATTTACCTATGGACTAAGCTGAAGACACACTATTTAGACACCAGAGGTGAAAATTAAGCCATATTGATATGAGGGGGGTTAGTCTATCTCTCAACAACTTCAAAAAAACAAAACAGCAGCAGATGCAGGAGGAAAAGAAGAATGCTTTTTCAGCCAAAAGGTGAAAAAAAAGAAATGCAGAGCTGATCATGAAGACATGAACAGGGAAGAGATCCCAAATGATAAGCACAGATGGAAAGAAGGCCAATACAAATAAGCACAAACAATTTTTCAAAGAACAGGCAGTGGACAAAGTTTAGGTGAATTTCTGCATTCTAAGTGGATGTCTTCCTTTCAGGGGTCTTACCTTCCTGTTCGCATGGGTTTTCTAAGAGATGTCTTCCTGCTAGTCAGAGCTGCAGAGCTGCAAGAGGCAGATTTCCGAGGATCTTCATCAGATACATTAAAGCAAGAAATCTTCTTTGATGTGGGAAGAATTGCTTTATATTTAAGAAGGAAAGATTAAAAACATTGTATAAATGCCAGCTGAAGATTGGTTTGGTTTGGTTTGTGGGGTTTTTTTATGGTTGTATAGTTTGTGTTCTCATTTCTATAATGTTTCGTTACAACATTAAGGGGACAGCTACAGGAAAAATAATTTCTGGCAGACAGAGATGAAGTAGCCCAGCAGTGGCAACAGCAATATGGGTTGTGCACAGGGGAGTGGGAACATCATAGAGAATATTTGGTGGATGGGAGGAAGCTTAAAACAGCATTAAGACCGGGAATAAGGAAAACGAAAAGGGCTACGTTCATAGTCTTGGCTGAGATGAGGACTTAGGAATGTGGAAGAGAGTGAATGTAACTCTGGAAGTGGTTGGAGGAATCAAGCTCAGGAGAGGAGAGATAAGGAAATGGGAAACTTCGGTAGGGGGCAGTTGGAGTTACCTCTACAGTCACCTTTGAGTGAATGAGAATACACTGCGAGAAGGATCCCTGGTCCCCCATGTATTTTCATGACTTCTAATTATTTTCTCCACCCCTTTTCCCTTTTGCTATCACAAATATGGGTACTCTTTATAGAATTATCATCTCACTCATTCTTCAGCTTTCATTACTAAGATCCAAAAATAATCTTACTGCGAAGTAAAGATATCCAAGAAAAATTTGGGATACACAAGTCTCTTGGAGTTATCATGTAACCCCCTGGCCTGGAACATGCTGGACCTGCTCAGTGACATGCTAGGAACTCCAGTTTAGATTAATGTAATACAGTAAAAGAAACTGACACACCTGCTCCTGATGAGTGATCCTGATTTAGGCCTGAAGGTTTTCTGTATGGCTGAATTCTGAAACTAAAAAAGAGCTAATGAACTATTCAATACTGTATTTTATATTATATACTAAATTATACATCATATAGAGAACTATGGAAGTTCTCTATCCCTACCATGTGCCAAGTGCAGTTAAATTTCTGAGATCATATCTAGCAGATAGGATTACTTTTACAACTAACAGTGTAAACATAAGTGCTTTCATGGGACTAACTAATTGTTGAGCTGGAATTTCAGAATTTCTGCAAGCAAAACTGCATTAAAATATTTATTTGCAAATCACACACTTATACTGTTCACACCTTGTATGTTCATTCAAGTATGTAGCATGGAATTACCTCTTAACTAAAAATAAGGATATAGAGGACAAAAATTTAATACCTAAAATTTACCATAGTGCTAGAAACTAGATGTTACTTGTTACTCACAATGGGGTATTTTTGGCTATTAGAAACTTTGCTGTTAAAAAGAAAGCAGTCTCAGCTATCAGGAAGTACGTAGTAGAATTAACTAGGAATAATATATGAAATAGGTTTTTTATGTACAAAGGTAAAGTACAAAATAAGAATTCAGGAAAATCTTCTGGAGTTTTCCTGAATTCTGAAGTCTGAAGCCTCTGGAATATAATGTTTAGAAATACTGTAGGGAAGCCCCTTGTGGTGTTATGGTGAGCCTCATGAAGAAAGGAGGTGTATGCAGCAACGGAAATATAAATAAAGACAGGGACGGAAAAATACCTTTAGGCAAACAAGTACTTACTCAAGTAAATTTTTGATAACACTTATTCCTAAATCATCAACTGCAGATTTTCCCATTCTGCTTGGATTTAACAAAGGAAATTTGACAGGATCCAGCCCCATCACCATCACTTTGTTCTCATCTTTGAGACACTGTGTTCGAGTGCCAACAGCAATTGGATCCTGTAATGTAACATCCATTGCAAGAGGGGTAAAGTCTTCCTGAAATGGGAGGAAAAATGAAACCCTGTTGACTGTACTGGGCAATTAGTGAAAGCATTACATGTAGTTACTGATTACTAAAGCAGATCTTCCAAACACATTGTTTTGCTTCACAGGCTGAAAGAAAGATTTTTATAGTTCTAGTAGAAAAGCTGTTAGAGCTATACAACTCTGAGATGCTTATAAGTAGTTAAGAGCAGATTCTCACAATTATCATAAGCAGTATTTAAGTATATATCATTAAAACAATGATCTTTTGTAGATTACAAATCACAAACTTTCCAGAAAAGGAAGTTCAAACCAAACCAAACAAACAAACAAAAAAAAAAACAAAAAAAACCAACCAACCAACCCCATTTCTTAAAAAAGATCTCATCAGGACAGATTTTATTTTTATTTTTTTTAATTATCTAAAGAAACCCATGAAATTCATGTCTATGAGTAGTGCTATGTTTTGAAAATAATTGTGAAGAACTGTACATCTTTAACATTCCGTGAACTCAGTGGCAACTGATTTACTCATCCTCTTAAAGAAGCTGACCTAATGTTACAAAGTCTTGGACAGCTTGCAGCATCTTTCCTCATTTGAAAATTCAAAGCATGGATTCTGAAAAACCTGTGAAACATACACATAAAAATTCACTCGATATTAAGTAAAACATAGAACTTCAATCCTATCTTACATTCTCCTGCAGGCTCATTGCTTTTACTAGCAAGCAGTCGAGATACTGGCTCCTCTTTTTCAGACCTTTCAACGCTACTTTGGCAAAATCATACAACTCTTCTGAAGTCAAGGCCTGAAAGAGATGATATTACAGATGGTAGCTGCTAAGCTAGCTGTTTCAGACTTTTCAAATATGATGACTCTTGCATACAAACTCATATGATTTTGTCACCATTTCATTTACACATACAGGGAAGTGATGAGATTGTATAGAGGCTAAGGTTTTTGTTTGGCAAACAGGAGAACAGGTACGCGACCTTCTTGAGCAAAAATTCTGTGGTAAAGTACAATTCTTGCTCACCACCAAACGTGTATAAACATAAGCCTACCTCAAAAATATTAGTTTATACATTATACAAACATGCACAGTGAATCAAATTAAAACCAAGTAAAATTAAATACTGTTTCATGCTGGTTGGAACTTACTTTAGCATCTGCAGTAGGATGGGCACAAGCATCTACCTTTTGACGAAGCTTCTCCAGATAAGAGTTTAATGCCATTGCCTGCAAATTGGAATTTGCTACCTAAAACAGAAGCAGATACTGGTGAAGCAAAATCCTGTTTGAGAGATTTTCAGAGGCTCCACTTTGAGAATAGCTGGTAAATACACTCAAGCACTGCTACTCAGAGGAGAAGCTGAAAACAATTCACAAAAGCAACACTTCATGTCCTTTACTGCACCACACAAAAATGCTGGTCTATTCAGATGTACATACTCAACATGCTGCAAGATCACATAGTGTTCCAGCAGAGCTGCAGCAGCAGTAAAAACATAGTTTTAAGGTTATAATGACAGAAAACAGGTTTTGAATGAATATAAAAAGTAACTTAATGTTTGTCCACTCTGAATTCAGCCAAAAATGTCTTCAAAGTAATACAAGAGAAATTATTATATTCATTTAAACAAAGTTCTGATGTTTCTGTTTATACCTCTGACTTGATTCGCACTCGTAGATTTGTCAAAAATTGTTGGATCTTCTCCATAAAGACTCGATTCATAAAGAGATAATGGAATTTCGTTTCAGACTGGTGGATAAGTTCAGTAGCCTTTGAGAATGTCAGAAACAAGAGACAGAACTAATTATTTTTCACTTTTTAAAACTTTGATAATAGAACTCACCATTTCTACTTATTTTTTCCCATCACATAATTGCCATGCGTAACAGTCTTACAGTTCTAATCTAGAGGTGGGCTGATTATAAACCACATCAAATATGCCAATCTAATGCATCATTCAAAGAAAGGAAACTCTGCACACTTGCTCCAGGCAGCTCGATTCCATTTTCTCCATATCTGTCTTGATTAAACCTTCGAAAGCATCAATATGCACACTCTCCTCCTGAAGACGCTTGCTGAAGGACTTCACCTCCTCAGGAGAAAAGTTACCTCCCTCCAAAAATAATCTGAAAGCAACCAGCAAAGTAAAAGCAATTGGCCAGGAGTCTTCCTTTTCTCAAAGACTATTTTAGCTAAGTAGCCCTAAAACATAGACATCAACACAAATGTAATGAAAAGGATATAATAATAGAGGCTTAACAAAATGCATTTGCCTTTTTAAATAGCAAACTAGTTGAATAACAAAATAAACTTGAACTTTGCTGTTCTGCCTATGCAACAAACACAGATGCCTAGAAATAGTAACTATTTATAAACAACAATAATGAAATCTCTATACCTGCAAGCTTTAAGAAAAGCCACATTTGAATCTCTTAATTTTCCAAAAGCTTCCTCCAAATAGTTGCGGTAACTCCTCAGGGAAACCTGGATCATTTCCAGATGATTATGTAGCTCTGAGTGCAGATTGTTGCTGAAAGAAACTAACCTAATAGCAAATAATAAAAGAGAGGGAAAACATATAGAATGAGGAACACACATTATAATTCAGAGGCTGCTGGCTATAGAGACCTGAACAAATCTCAGAACTCAAGAGTGTTTTAGTATTCTGAAAGCAACCTACTGAATTGTGACTGTCTGGATGGACACTGGGAAGAGATCAGCAAGCAGCTGATGCTGTCGAAGAGGATCCTTCAAAACCAATTGGTCAATTGCTATTACTGTGTAGGTTCAAAAAAACAGATAAAATGTAAACAGATGAAACATCTTTTCTACTTTAAGACTGCCAGGACTTTGAAAATGCATGAGAATTGTTGTCATCCATTCAGTCCTGGGTTTAATTTCTTCAGGGAGAGAGAAAGGAAAGAAATATTTCCCTGGTTTTGGGTTTTGTTTGTTTTTTTTTTTTTTAGATTTCATGAAGCAATCTTCGCTGAAGACATACGAAATAGCCTCAGGGCACAAACCAAGAACAGTGCAGACGGCGATGAGGAGTATTTAACTATGGGAATTCACACCAGCAACACCTGCGGCACACTTACTTCTCAGTCATAGGAGCACTGAGGAAGACAGACTCCATGTCATGGAGACGTGATTCTAAGTTTTTGCACATGTTATCTTGCTGCTCACAAAATCTGAGAAATTCAGCTCTCTCCTTTTCCAGAGCCTCCCCCACCCCTGCGCAGTGGCATTCCAGGCGCTCTTTGTGAAGCAACAGTTCCACTGACAAGAAAAGAAACGTGACAATACTGTCATTATTCCCTGTTTACTGTGACCATCACAACCATCAGCCAACCTATCAGCAGAAGCAGCTGTGAATAGACCGAGACAGATCTCAGAGTGGCTAAAACATACAAATAAAATACACGCAATTCTCTTTCCTTGATTTTACTCACAGGTTTGGCATGTATCCCTGGCAGCTCCTAATCCATTCAAATCACAAATGCCTTTTGTTTGCTCTAAGCCCTCTTTTTCCTTTTAGTTTTGGTCACTCCTGACATTCCATTATCTCTGTTCTCAGTCTTGTAACCAAAGTAAAGGATTTTTATTTTTTTTTTTTTAATGGAAAATACACCGCTCTCTATTTTGGGGGGGGGAGGGAATAATTATTTTTGGTCTCCGTTGTGGACTGATGGGTAGGTAAATCAAATCCAATCCCCCTCAAGAAAACTGCCAGAAAGACATCTATTGTCTTTGCAGGAAAAAGTGGAATTGGCAAATTATTTGCCTGTTTTCCCAAAAGAGAAGTTTCCAGTTTAGATCTCCAGGGTCACCAAAGAGTCTTAAATCACTTATTTAACACGAGAAAAACCTGACACTTCTCACGCCGAAAAGAGCTGTGGTTAGTGGCCAATGTGCAGCTGCTCGGTGCTGTTCACAGAGCAGAGCCCTGCGCCTCCCGGGGCAGCAGCCAGGCCCCGTCATTTCGGCTCTCCAACATCTGCCAATTCTTTTTCTGCAACACTCTGAAAATCACTTTTTGTACATTGCAAACTCTTGATAAATAACTTCCAGGAGAGTGAGGCCTCACAGATACTGACAATAGAAACTGAATGTTCATTTCTTACTTCTTTTACAATCAAGCAATTGATCAGGACACTGCTGGCTGTTTCCCAAGCACAATATAGCAGCTGAGCCAGCATGAGCTATAGGACAGAAACATCTTTTTTAAAATACGAGTAACATATTACACTAGGAATTAGTAGGCACTGAACTGCTTCCTAATGTCCTCTACTACTGAGTCAACTGATGCCGAAACAGATCTTGGTTCACTTATTATCACCTCTAAATGAAGACATGGAATGCTCAGAGTAAAAACAAGCCAGTACCAGCTCTAACACTGTAGATATTTGTCTCTATGTTCTCCTGCTTCTGCTGGTGGAAATGAAGACGCAGCTGAAGTTCTGAATTCAACTCCTCTTTCTTGGCAGCCACAAAGACACAGGAGTTGGACAAGGACTCTGCAAACCATTTCTCTAAGTGTTCAAAAAAGCAGAGGCGAATCCTGTGATTGAAACAGAAATATTACAGTGAGGAGAGTAAGTAGTAAATAAGAATTTATTAAATATATTAATTCTAAGAAATTAAATTCTGACTACAGGAAGATGTGCTTTCACTACCATTTGCACAATACTGGTAGAGTTTTTGAGCTGGCTGTATGCTACTGAGTACCAAGCATTTTACCTCCATGGCTCTGCAGGGAATTTGGGCAAACTACTTGCCTTTCTGTAACAAGTTTTCTCACCAAACAATTTTCTGTAAAATATGAATGGTCTGTAAAAGGTAAATTCTGGTGTGGTAATTTGAGAGCCATGGATGAAAAGCAATACACAAATTTTCTCTTATTCTTATCAATTTAAAAAGAGGATTAACATCAAAATCATTAGATTATTTTTGCATCTTTAATCTAATGTCTCTTTCAAACAGGTGAAATTTGTCTGTTACCTAAAGGTAAAGAATGACCAGAAAAGTGTTTTCTACTAACCGTTTTTTCAGCTCTACAAACACTTTTTCTTTGAGAAGTATGTATTTGAGGTATACAGGAAGTGATTCTTTTTGTTCATATTTTGTAAAGTAAGTCTCTGGGATGCCAGTCTTTCCTGCCCCTTCAACTCCAAGAACTGTGTAAGAGTTGCCACTAGAAGTGGAAAAAGTCTCAATGGCAATTTCAGAGCTCCTTGCCTTGCTGCAGTTGAACATAACCTAGGAAACGACTGGAAATCATCATCTGTTACCTTTAAAGGCATAGAATCAACAGTGCACAAGCTAATGTAAGAATTCTAAGGATATTAAGAATAATATTGTCTATTTGGACAACCTTCATACAGAGAATAGATGTTTGCAAGTCTCTAAGGTAGAGTCACCAATGTTTTAAAATGTTTTTGATATGGTGATAAATTCATATAACTAAACACCTGAAAAACTAACATATAGGTACAAATACAGCTTAAATCAGTCACCCTGGGTTAAGAATACCATGATGAAAGAAAGAAAGGTATTTTTAAAGAAATTCTATGCAAAAGGTTTTTTACAAGGGTAAAAGCAGCGTAAAAGGATTGGTTGTAAACTGTTTTATATATTCCATTTACCCATGAAAAGGATCTAAAGCCCTAACACTTCAGAAATAAATTAAAACTATAAACTAAATCTAATCTACTTTAAGGAATTTAGATTCACACCATTAAAATAATAATAATAAAAACTAAAAAAAAAAAGACTTCTTATCACTATTTTGCGCAAGACTTATTTCACCTTCGAATTTATTCTCTTGTTCATTTACCCGTGTAAAACTTACCCCTTGCTCTGCATGCTCAGTTTCTTCACTTTCATGAGGAATACTTTCCTCATCTTCATTTTCCTCCTTTTTTTCAGTTTCCTGAGCAAAAATCTCCTCATTCTCCGCTATGTTTGTTTCTTCATTTTCCTGTTGACAACTGTTCATATTTTCCTCTCCTTCATTTTCTTGCACACTGCTCTCAGCTTGCTGCTCCACCAGGCATTCAGCTTCTGAAGCCCTAACTAGTTCTTTCCAGTTAAAGCAGAGTTTTACTGGTCACAATTCAAAGAAATACAGATTGAAAACAAGCAAGCAAAATTACCTGTTTGCACCATTGAGGTATTACCTTGATCTTGAAGAGTGGAGCCTGTCTTTCCTTGCAAGTTCTAAAAGCAAAACAATACCCCCCCCCCCATTTTAAAAATAAGAATTTGCTTAACCCAAACCCACTTCAGTCCCATGGCCAAAACAACGCTTCAGTTTCTGTTATCTAAATTTTAAAGCTCACGTAAATTTTCCCCAAAGTGAAAAATTCATACACCAGTAAGATTTTAAACTGGAAGAAGTTTGTTTTCTTTATACCTGTTTGAAGATTTCTTTCACATTAAAATATTGGCTGATGGATATACTATAAGAAATCAACTCCTGCAAAACAGCTTCTGGGTAAGCCATTACTTTATCCATTAGAACTTGGTTGAAGGTCTCATATCTGTCAAGTTTAAGATCACTGTTTAATAGACTTGAGTATGTATAGAAATAAAACGAAATCTGACTACAATGTCTAACTTTTCAACCAATCTCATAAAACCTTTACGCTAAACATTGTACTCTATCTGTATTTTCACTCACCTAAAAAGGTACATTACCTCTGGGGTTTGTTATATTTCCTAAAGAATAGAAAGAGTATTGAACCAACAGCTCTAAATATGGGTGCAGGGGATATGTGTGCATGCCTGTATCTGCCTCGCAGGTGCATATCACCCTTCTAATATGTCTCCAATCTAACAGATACAAAAGACTTTCTGGGTGTGAAAATATAACTTCTTCCTCTCTGGCTATTTAATCCTCAAATATTAGCCTAAGACCTTCAGCAAGGAGAGTGGTATGTGCCATTTTGATGTGATTTTTAAAGATGGAAATGGCTGATCATAAGAAATGTAACAGAAACATTACCAAAATATGTACTTTGGCTACGTGAAAGTTATTAGTAACTTTTAGTCCTTGCTACATTGAAAGGGATCAAATCCGTGAGCACAGGTGAGGGCACTGACTTTCTTTTGATGCAAGTGATTCAAGAATTCAAACGACTACTTTCATCTTCTGAATAAACAGTCATCTCTCTGGCATAGATGACATGGTACCACTTAATAATACTGATCTGGTATGTCTTAAAACTTGTATCAGTCTCACTTCTAGGATGTGGGTATTATTTGCCTTAACCTCTTTCAATATAGAAATGATTTTATTTTACATTCTTAGATGAAGTAGCAAGCAGTGCCTTTCACACTTTCACATTACAGCATAAACAAGACCTAAGTAATACAAGCAACATTTAAATGTGCTCTACTTTTTAAGTTTGCACTACAAAACTCATACCTAGCTCTGATGTCATCTAAAGAAGAAAATGCATTCTCCAAATATTTCTTCAGATCTTCTTCAGAGCTTTCTCTTCTCATTTTATCCAAAATTATATCCAGATTAGCTTCCAGCATCTAGGGCCACATAAGAAGAACCCAGTAAAAGTTATTTGTAATTACTAAAATGCTTCATAGCTATTTAGAATTCAAATAATTTAATTAGGTACATATTCTACACCAAGAAGGGAAGCTACCTTAGCAAAATTCATATACGCTGAAGATCTTTCATAGATAATGAAGATGTCTGACTTTGCCACCCCAAGTTGCATGTTATACCCATAATTCAAGAACTTGACATACAAACAAGACCCTACACCTGTACAAGATCATATGAGTAATAGAAACTTGTAGCCACTCAATACATAAAGAATAATCTTTATCACCTTTGCCATGTCAAGAATAAAATATGACCATACATTAAGTGTGAATCAAGCAGCAAAAGATGTACCTGACTCAATGAAACTACCCTGTAAAAATACCAGTATTATGTCAAAGATAACGTTGTAAATTTCATAGCAGGTATTTTTAATTCCAGAGGGTTCTCTGCATTAAGAAATCTTCTCTTTACATCATGCTGCATCCTTGGGTTTATGTTTATACCTGAGTTAAGTTATCATGTTCCCGCCTGCATTCATCTAATTTCTTCTGAAGTTCATCTTCCCGCTGGGACAGTTTGAGCTGATGAATATCCCAGAGACCCATGGCCTCCTGAAAATAGCTGTACAAGTCTTTACAATTCTGCTCATGCTGTTTAGCCAGCTCCTCAAAGTCTCTCTGAAGAAAGACATTTAAGTGAACCAGTTACTATTAAACTGTTTGCTGGAAGGTGAAATGAATAAGGGGACATATGACATGTTAAAAGGCTGTCTGGCAGTGTGCTACCAATATTCAGCATGGCCTCTTCTATTTAGAGAGGAAAAAGTAGTCCAAGTAAATCAAGGAAGAATGTGGACTTTTGTTCTAGAAGCTGAGATACTAAAACTCCTGTTTATTATTCTGGTACTGTAAAGCACAGAATCACCATGTTCAGCACATGTCCTGAAGTATCTGGCCATCTATCACTTTAGGAACAACTGCCTGGCCATTTTCATGTACGGAATCATAAAAGATAGGATTGAAAGAAATTTGGGATATCACTTAAATCTATTCCCTGCCTCCAGGCAGGATGTTCTATAGCTAATTCATCCCTGATAATCTATTCTAAATATAAACCAAACAATTAGGAACTCTTCTCCTTGAACCATAACAAACCGGTTTTATTTGTGGGGCAGGTATTAAGTCACACTCTGGACCTCTGTCTGACATGACAGCAGCAGCCTAAGATGCATGCAGCATTTCAGGCAGTAGCACAGGAAGAACAGAGAGTAATAAAACCAAATGTAATAAGCATACATCCATATGCTTCAGTTCTTCTTCAAAGTGATTTTCTAGTTTCTCAGTCAACTGAAGAAAGTCTGAATTCACAATTTCTTCAGCCTCTTCTTTTGTGCAAATGTTTAGATTCAACAAGTTATTCTAAAGAAAAAGAATGCTAAGTTATCGACATGCACATAAAGTAACAAATACTGTGTGGCTTTCAGAGAGCGTGGCTAAACCTGGTGTTTCTTCTTTTTTTCTGAATGGATAGAAAAAGATTCAACCACCGCCTCCCACCTTCCCCCAGATCTCATATTCTGTTAGCAAACAGTACAATTCCATTTGGACTCAAAGGCAGAAACTAAGGCAGAGAGGTGGAATTTATTTCCCAAGACAAGAAAGATCCAGCACAATGACTGAGGGTTGTGACCTGGGTCCTCCACCTAAAAGTGGCACAGTACTCCTTTCACTCCTGGCATTTGTTACTGCTTTTACACATTTCAAGTACAAATACCACAGGATACTGTGAAACAAAATAGACAGTAGCTTTTCTAACATAATAAGACAGGTTAAAAAGTAATTCCACTTGTTATCTCATGTTTGGTGAATCCTCAAACATGTATTAATGTAACAACCTGTTGTACACTGTTACTAGCAATCCTTCCAAGAACTTGCAAAGTTTATGCTAACCTTGTGTTGCTGCATTGCTGCCAAACACGTCTGCTGGACTCTCTTGTACTGAATGCGTATTTTCCTCATACACTGCACATTGTAGGTATCTTAAGGATATGGAAGAACAGGGAACAGTGTAAAGATTTCTGTATTTCACAATGCAATGTGAAATGGAAACATGAGAAAGGGCCTCTGCTGAGTCTCAGCAGAGGTAACATATCCCAGTAGTGTCTTCACACTTGTGTGACATTATCAACCAATAAGGTGTTTTAATACAAACCTTTTTATCATTGTGTTTAAACGTAGCAAGTTATATACAGTCACTAGCAACTTATTTACAGTCACTAGCAACTTATTTGCTACTATAGAAGCCACAGACATTAAGACAGGATGTGTTCAGGAGAAGGTAGACATGCAGAGGAAGGCACACTATAGGACTCGGAGGAAGGAAGCATCCCAAATACTTCCCCTCTCATTCTCCAAGAGGAGTATTTTTGTACGATTGAGAACTGATCTGTATTAAGATTAACCTTCTATTTCCCCCAATTAATTCTAACCAAGTCTTTCCAACCCTAACTATCCTATGATTCTATGATAAGTCAGCCCCTGCTGGATCTCACCATGAAAAAATGCTTGTGCTGGCAAAAGGGACAGGAGGCAATGGACAGCTTATTTGGGTCATATTGCCAGCTCAAAGCAACTTAGAAGATACATGAAAATACATGGAACAAATACAGCAAACAAATACTTTCAAAGCATCTGCCTGACTCAGTATTGCCTGGAATTGCTTGAATTCCAGACTGTTTTTGTGATTTCCCAACTTACCTATACTTTTGTTTATATTCACCAAAGATCTGTACCATTCACTTGTCTCAGCTTTTGTGTGTGTTGGAGGCAACAAATCACTATTGAAATATGAAACAAGAGTCAGATACCTTCAAATAGAATCCAGTTGGTTCTTAAAGGATAACATTATGAATCAGAGTAAGATACTATTATGTTTTATTTTATTTGCAGCCATATCTGCAATGAAAATAAAATTACTGCTATTCACCAAGACCACTGTTCACCAGCCGGGAACTAACTGTAATCCATCTTGCTGCTACATACATTGTAAAAGAAAAACTGTAAAATATTGTAAAATGCATTTCACCCAAACCATCTTTTCTTGTTGTCAGGATGGACATGCAAACGTAGCAGTGTTAGATTTCCATTAAGACTCCTTTATTAATTTATGATGCAAATTAAACTCCCCCCCCAGCAATAATGCCTTGACAAGATCACCAATTTATACAATCTATCCATACTTATCTGCCGCTTTCTAACATGTTGTAAATGTTAGGAAGATTTGCTTTTATGTTCCTGCATTTCTAGCCCTCGATCACCCCCTGTTTAGTGTAACTGGTGCGCTGAAAACCAAGAGTGCTTTTTTTCCCATTAAAAATAGCTTTACAAAAGAACTCCTGGCCCTGCCTTACTGCTACATTGTACAATCACACACTGAAAGAGAGCAAACTGCATTTTGCTATCAAATCCTTCATTAACTCTAGAAAGAATTCTATTTTCCTTTGTTCCTGTTCTCTCTTTTGTCATACCCCAGGTGCTGCAAAAACTCCAGTCTCCTTTCGCTGAGTAAAATCTGATCTGTTATCATATTTTCCATTTCTGCTTTCACAGACGGGGGATTCTGTATTTCTTCATTTGCCATAAATTCTCTGTAGGATTGAAGAATACATTGAAGTATCTGTTTGGGACACTTGCCACTGTGTCATATTCATATGTCAAAACATAACTGTAAAATTTCTGACCTGAAACTGTGAACTATACAGTTCTTTTGGATGAGCTTCCAGTCCTTGACTCTGTCTTGCCATTTCAATCGATGGAATAATTCCTTCTTCAGCTCTGATTTCATTAGATTAAAGAACAGCTTGGCAATTGCCCTCTGATTAGCCAACAGTGCTCTGTTAATCAGCTGTGCAGTAAAAATTCAAAAGAGGGATAAAAGCAGCATAAACCAAAAAACAAACAAAAAAAAAAAAAAAGAAAGAAAGAAAAAAAAAGAGCCTGTTCTGTGTAAAGTGAGTGGGAAATACAAATGATACAAATGATAAAGAATATCCTGCAAAATAAAAATCCCTCCTACATGCAGGGATTGGTAAGTAGAAATAGTGAATTTCAGTTGGAAAAGAAGACAATCCGGGAACACTGATTGCTACTTCTCACAGATAAACCAGCCTCTCAGTATGAAAGATTTACCATGGCCTCATCGTTCATGAACCTGTAAACATCAGCTGACAAGAAGAAGGAAATGTTTTCCAGTATCATAGTATACTTCCTCAGTACAGCTGTTATCTGTGCAATAAAAGAACAAAGAACAACAAAAAAATCTGTATAACTCCAATGTCACTTTCCAAAGTTAAGCGATGCTATGAACAAACCATTTTTTTTCCATTAAAATAAAATCTGACAGATTGAGAAGAGAATCTTAAAATACTTAAAATCTTAAATACTGATTTTTTTAAATCACTCATATAAACACTAAACATTCCATTTTGTTACTACTCAGTTCCCAGCTGTGGAGTAGGTGCTTCCCAACAAAATAACCTCAGACCTGCTACAGTTTGACCTATATAACTCTGCAGAAAAATAAAAGCAGCTCACATCTCCCTTGCATCTTTAATACAGGTGAATGAAACGAACACTTTGTAACTGGTAAAGAAGTATCTTCTGATTATGTGGGTACGAGAGAACGATCTACTGGCGAAAAGACAGTAATTGCCTATGCAAAAGAACCCCTGGCAGATGTCTTTGGCTCTTGTGCAAACAAGCTACTCTGGGCTCTGCACCCAGCATCAGGAGCAAAAAACATCTTATGCTGAATTAACAGCTATGAAAACTACAGCTCACTTGATCAGCTCGACTTCTTTCAACCTTTTTTAGGGATTCATTCATTTCCTTAATCCACTTCCTTCTGGTTAAGGATTCCTGGTGGATGGTACTCCACAGTTCTTCCAAACCCTGCAAGAAGGATTTATTGTCAATCTCACTGCAAAGGAAATACATATATTAAAAAAAAAAAAAAAAAAAAAAAAGGCATTTATATCTATCTTAAAACTACAGCAAGACATAGGAAGCTGTTATGCAGAGTAGGTACAAAGAACTGAGGAGGAGACAATGGCATAAGCTGCCTTACTTCAATCGAGAAACCTTCCAGAGTGGTGTCAAACTCAATCTTTTTGAACAGAAGTTTAATTTTTCTATCGGATTCCATCAGTTTTGTCAGAAGGAATTTTCCAGGCTCCAAAACAAAGGGTTCCATCTCCTAAAAAAATAAGGAAGTCAGTGCGATGTTTTCAGCATTAGGCCCTGACTTAAGTATAGTACTTAAGACTATATGAATTACAAAACCCAGTCTTACCCTGGCAATGAAAGCAAGCTCATGGTACATTGAGGTTAGTGCTTCATCATGACGGCCTCGCCGGTGTTCTGACAGGCGTTCCAAGATATTACTCCTCGTTTCCTCAGGAACTGCCAAGAAGAAATGAGGATGATGCAGCTTGGAACTGTTGCTGCAGAAAACATAATGCATGCAAAATGAATCCCTAAATCCATGCTCTGAGCTCTGTAGTTTGTTCAGCTGTTACGGTGCATGACAGCTTTCCACTGGAAGGAAATTATGCAAATGTAGGTTAAAAATAGCAAGGCATATATTAAAATTTCCTTTGATTTTATTAATTTGTAATTTTCAGAAGGATAAGAGCATGGAAACTATGAACTAAGTTCAGGTGTGATTGATTGACTGCACCATCCCAGGAGACATTCAAGGCCAGGCTGGATGTGGTTCTAGCAACCTGATCCACATGATGATGTCAGGTAATTTCTGAGTTTGATTTTATACCTTGATTATATGTAGGGTGGTTCCTAAGAAGGCAAATTAAAATATCTGACATTTCCCTCAGTGACATGGCTTAGTGGTGGTCTTGGCAGTCCTGGGGTAATGGTTGGACTTGATGATCTTAAAGGTCTTTTCCAACCTGGTTAATTCTATGATTAAGGGAAATAAATTTTACCAACAAAATCAGGAAGGGATCTGACTTCCTCAGCTGCATTTAGACAGACGTTTTTCCAAGCCTTTTGAAATATTGTAGCTTCTCTGAAACAGAAAGAGAATAAAGCATTGATTTGTAGTAAATACATAAGAGGAGGGACTTGCAGTGGTATAATATTCGATTTAATTGGCAAAATGTAACATTTAAGCATCATTCTAATTTCAAAGAATCAAAGTTCCTTCTGAGATGAACTAAACTGAGGAATTAGCCTATGTAGATCAAAACCTCCAATCTCCTATGATGGCCTAAAAGCAATAAATGCTAGATTTTATATGTGTAAACTACAAAGACATACATACTATCTCTAAAAGGTATACAAATCTATGAACAGTTTAGTAAGAACTAGCAAGAAATGTGGCCTTTACCTGCTCACTGCTCTACCCATCAGCTGGGGTACTGTGTTTCTCCTCAGGGGAAATGAGGATAAAGGTGACATTATTAAGCAGGAAGGGTCAGGATGGACACACTCATCTATTGTCATGCTCATTATGTAACCATTACTGCATCCTCATGTAAATCATTAACATAGTTTGAAACAGAGTTCAAAAATACACATCAGACCGGGCATGTTTTTGACTCTTTTGAGTAACAAAGACATACAATTTATTTTTAAAAGAAAAGCCATACAACATGCGCGCCATTGCAAATTTAGCCTGTTAATGAGCACTTCAACAGGCAGCAGCTCACTATACTGCATTTCCATCTGGCAAGGAGACAGTCCGTTACAAGGCAGTGCTGTGACCAAGAATTCAGGCATGTCGAGGTCCCAGTATAGCCCCCGTTCCTGCAATCATTAACATATAACTGAGGGTTTATGCTCCTGTTCTCTACCTGTACAACGGTGGCTCCTGCATGGAGGCATTGCAGGCTGTTCTGTCAGCGCTCTGATGCTGGGAAAGTTGTAGTAGCCCGGCATCAGTGGGAATTTCTGAATCCATAACCAAGCGAGCCTTCCTCTCTTCATAGGAGTCCTGGCCTCGTTTCTTACTTCATCCAAAGAGCACACGAAGGAGACTTCCCTGCCCGGAGCGCGGCGCACAGCTCCCACCGTTGGCACGCAGCCCCCACAGCCAACTTCCAGGCCTGTTTCCAGAACTGCCGTTTAGAAGCTGCGGAACAAGGGGTTTAATGGCTCTACTGAGGGCGAAGCTCCACGGTTTGCACCG